GCACACAGTTGCAGAACCATACCCTCGTCTGACTGATATAGCTTGTAAATCAGTATGACTGGAATATGCCCTAAGATATATGTACTTACGACAAATTCGCCACGTGTTTCCAGTATCATCTACAGCTTGTGGGCAAGATAAGTAATTAACCAGATTTAATCTCCTGCTTGAAACAACTAAAAAAAAAAAAAGACAAAATATATGAGAATGATTTTTAAGGCATTGGACATCAGGTAATGGGGGACTGGTCCCTGAGAGATGAAACTGTAAGTGAGCCCTATGTCTGCCCTAGAGTACTGCATGTAAAGAGTTTCTAGGCCATGCTGGAGAGAGGGGAACCCACGCAAAGTTCACCAGCTCCCTGAGTAGAGGGGATAGAGCTAGGAATCCATGAAAGTCAGAGCAGCTGAAGTTTGCAAGTCTGATAAAGGATGAAGGAGAGTGGCACACAAAGCTCCAGAGACCTGCAGACACTTCCTCTTAGGCGTTCAGATGAATACTGATCAAAACATGCGCATGAAGAAATTACGCAAGGCATGGGGAAGAACCACCTGAAAATATTAAAAGGAGCGCTCTCCAAAGCCTACACAAAGCCAGGAATACTGCCTGTTTGGGCAATAGGTAGAATACACAAAACAATTTTGTCTCAGAAGTGGCAAAAATTAGCCCTAGACTAAGAACTCTCTGGTTCTGCACAAGCTAAAGATTAAGAGCAAAAACTTAAAGGATTAAACTGTTACCAAGTAACTGAGCTGTGTTCTAGAACAAACACAAGGATATCTATAGAATAATCAAAATATCCAACATCCAACAAGATAATAGTCACAATGTCTAGCTTCCAATAAAAAATTATAAGGCATGCAAAAAAGCAGCAAAATGCAATCCATCATGAGAAGAAAAATCAGGAAATTTAGAATGTTACAGGTGATAGAATTGTTAGACATTAGAACTAGTATAACTGTATTTCACATGTTGAATAAGCCAGAAGAAAGACAACATGCAAAGGACACATAGAACTTGTAAGTATGACTCAGACCAAAGTTCTAGAGATGAAATCTGTAACAACTGAGATGAAAAACATGCTGGATTGGATTAATAGCAGATTAGACATCACAGAAGAACGGATAGGTAAACTTGAAGACAGCAACAGATCCAAAATAAAAAACAGAAAAATAAGATTGGGGGAGAAAACAGCAATAGCGAATTGTGGAATGACTTCTAATGGCCTAATATAGGTATAATTGAAGTGAAGATTTTCCAAATTTGATGAAAACTATAAACGCACAGAACCAAGAAATTCTACAAATGCCAAGCACCAAAAACAGGGACAGGGAGAAAACTACGCCAAGGCACACCATAAATTGCTCAAAGCAGTGATAAAGAAAAAAATGTCTTCCAAGCAAGCAGAGAAAAAGGCATATTATATGCAGAGAAAGAAAACTTAAAATGACAGCAAACTTCTTGGGGAATAACACAAAAGAAACAGTAACCTCTCTAAAGTATCAACACACACACACACACCACACACACACACACACACACAAACTATAAATGCAGAATTCTATATCTAACCAAAAGATAATTTTAAAATGTAGGGAAAATAAAGACTTTTTAGATGCATAAATCCTAAAAGAATTCCTTATCAGCAGACCTGAACTATAATAAATATTAAAGAAATTTCTTAGGTAGAAGCCAAATTATTCCAAATAGAAATTTGTATCCGAAAAAAGGCACTAGAAATGATAAAACGTGGGTAAAGATAAAGAATTTTTAATTAAAAGATAATGTACTATTTAAAAGAAAAATAATACTGTGTTAAAAGAAAAAAACTTAATGTATATTAAAATATATAAGAATAAAAGTACAGAGGGTGGGAGACAGAAATGGAAGTGTAATTGTACAGTTCCACACTATATGTCAAGTGCATAATTTCCCTTGAAAGTAGACTGGGCCAGGTGCAGTGGCTCATCCCTGTAATCCAGCACTTCCAGAGGCCAAGGCAGGAGGATCACCTGAAGTCAGGAGTTCAAGACCAGCCTGGCCAACCTGGTGAAACCCCATCTCTAGTAAAAATACAAAAATTAGCCAGGCATGGTGGTGCACACCTGCAATCCTAGCTACTCAGGAGGCTGAGGTGAGAAGATCGCTTGAACCTGGGAGGTGAAGTTTTCAGTGAGCCAAGATTGCGCCACTGCACTCCAGCCTGGGTGACAGAGCAAGACTCTGTCTCAAAAAACAAACAAACAAAAAAATAGACTGTGGTAAGTTAAAAATGTATACTATAAACCCCAAATCAACCCCTAAAACACACACACACAAACTAATACAAAATTTATAGTTAATAAGCCAACAACGGAAGTAAAATGGAATCATGAAAAATAATCCATAACAAGGCAGAAAAGGACAGATGAGACAGAAAGAAAACAGCAAGTGGTCTATTAAACTCAACCATATCAATAATCATAATACGTGCAAATGATACAGATATTCCAATTAAATGGCAGACATTATCAAATTGGATTAGAAAGTCAGACCAACTTTATACACATACACATCCTCCAAAAAAAAAACTTAAATACAAAGATATGAACAGGCAAGGATAGACGCTTTGGGAGGCCAAGGTGGGTGGACTGCTTATGTCCAGGAGTTGAAGACCAGGTTGGGCAACTTGACAAACCCTCTTCTCTACAAAAAACACACAAAAATTGTGTGGTGGCACATGCCTGTAGTCCCAGCTTCTTGGGAGGCTGAGGAGGGAGGCTCACTGGAGCCCAGTAGGTCAAGGCTGCAGTGAACCATGTTCATGTCACTGCACCCCAGCCTGGGTAGCTGGGTGACAGAGAGAGACTCTGCCAAAAAAAAAAAAAAAAAAGTCAAAAGACGGGAAGATGTACCAAAACACCAGTCAAAGGAAAATGGAGTGGCTACGTTAGTATCAATCCAAGTAGATTCAAAGCAAATGACATTACCAGGTGATATAGTTTGGATGTTTGTCCCCTCCAAATCACATGTTGAAATACGATTCCCAGTTTTGGAGATGGGCCTAGTGGGAGTTGTTTTGGTCATAGGGGCAGATCCCTCATGAATGGGAGGGATCCCTGAAGTAATAGGTTCGCACAAGATCTGGTTGTTAAAGAGTCTGGAATTTTCCACGTCACTGTTGTTCCCTCTTTCATGTGACACGCCTACTCCCCCTTCCCCTTCTGCCATGACTGTAAGCTTCCTGAGACCCTCACTAGAAGCAGATGCCAGCACTATGCTTCTTGTACAATCTGCCAAACTGTGAGTCAAAATAAACCTCTTTTCTTTATAAATCACCCAGTCCCAGGTATTCCTTTATAGCAATGCAAAATGGACTAATACACCAGGGAAAAAGAATGTCATTTAATAATAATAAACAAGTCAATTCGTCAAAGGACATAACAATCCCAATGTTATGCATCTAATAACAGCCTCAAAATACATAAAGCAAAAACTAATAGAATTGCAAGGAGCAATATACAAAAACGTTTCACAATTATAGCTGAAGATTTCAACATCTCTCAATGATTGATAAAACAAGTAGACAGAAAATCAGTAAGGATAGTACAGATTTGAAAACTTAGAGCATCAAAACCAACAACAGCAGAAAAAAAGCATTCTTTTCAGGTGCACATGGACATTTAAAACATTGAACTATCTTCTGGACCATAAATCTCAATAAATTTAAAAGGATTCAAGTAATTTAAAGAATGTTTGTTGACCACACTGTAATAAATTAGAACTCAATAACAAAGATATCTAGAAAATCCCTCAAATGTTTGGAAACTAAATAAACCTGTCTACATTACCCATGGGTCAAAGCACAAATCAGAAGGGAAATTAGAAGTATTTTTAACTTAAAAATGAAAGCACAGCATTTCTGAGAGGCACTAAGGTAGTACTTAGTACTTCACTTTAGCAAAGGAAACTTTAAAACGCTAAACAGCTACATTAGAAAAGAATAGTCACTAACTGACGACTTCAGCTTGTACGTTAAACTAGAAAAGGCAAATCCAGAGTAGGCATGAGAAAGGGAATTCAAGAAATAGAAAACAAGAAATAGTGAAAAAAAATCTACAAACCCAAAAGCTGGTTTGTTGAGCATATCAATAAAACCTCTAGCTTGACTGATCAGAAAAAAGGAGAAAATACGAAGATATTTTCAGAATGTTTTCAAAATTTTGAAAAGTAGAATGTGTCATGAGCAGACTAAGAGCAGAAGATATACCAAAGAAAACTCAGCCTGAAGGAAAATTATAGCAGATGGAAACTCAGATCTCTACAAAGGAATAAGGAACATCAAACATAATAAATACGCAGATAAATAAAAGTATTTTTCTTTACGTTTAAAAGACAATTGTTTAAAGCAAAATAATAATAGTACATGATGGCATTTACAATATGCAGAAGTAAAACTTATGGCAATAAAAACACAAATGAAGCCAGGTGCAGTGGCTTTCACCTGTAATTCCTCAACTTTGGGATGCCGAAGTGGGTAGATCACTTGAGGTCAGGTGTTCGAGACTAGCCTGGCCAACATGGTGAAACCCTGTCACTACTAAAAATACAAAAATTAAGTGGGCATGGTGGTGCATGCCTGTAATCCTAGCTGCTTAGGAGGCTGAGGCAAGAGAATGGCTTGAACCTGGGAGGCAGAAGTTGCAGTGAGCCAAGATTGTGCCA